CTAAGCACCTTGACAGCCAGCACAACAATTGCATGTCATAATAAGCAATTATTGATCAGGGAGACATTTTTATGGTGTTTTGGGAGTAAATGAATTATATGCACTGATGATGTGTTTGAATTTTAATTGTTTACCAGTTCACTGGGAGTAAAATATGGAGTAATAAAACAGATGATACCCTGTTCCTTGATATCTCAGCTCTCCTTGAGCGTAACCTTCCTTCTGAATTACCTTAATCACCCAGGATGAAAGACAAAGTGTAAGGGCTTTTATGATGCTGCTCATAACACTCATGAAATGTTTCACTGTCATTGCGGATAATACACTAAGAATAAATAGCATGTAAACAAGTTTAATTACTTAAGAGTTTGACTCTCCACCAAGACATCAAAGACATTCTTCAGTTAATCACTCTTTAGCTTGTTTAGAGAAAATAATGCTTAAAATATTTAATATCACCCAAAGGATGCCAGCAAACAACCCATACAAAATTATCAAAATATATGGAAATAAGACGGTAAAACAAGTAACCATGGCACCATGCTAGTAATTAGGTCAACAGTCACTTTTAAAAGTCATGGAGACTAAAAGCACTGTTATTTTTAGAGCAAGGGCATGAAACTTTGTGCTATATACATGAAAGATACAGTGGAATTCATTCAAGGCATCTTCCAATCTAAGAAATACAAACATTTCAAGTAGAAAAAATATATTTCCCCCCAAAAGAGATCATGTATTTTGTATTCCTGTGTAGTTTAATCTTTCCTTATTGAATTAAAAAGAAAATGTGAAGTTTTTCTCTATCCTTCATCGGCACTACTATTTGTCTGATTTAAAAGTCTCAATTATAGAACTTGAGTGGCAAATGCTCTATAGAATTATGAGAGTGGGAGGGAACAAAAGTGGCCATTACTCCATTCCCCTGCCCCCTAAGTGGGATTCAAAGCCATTATCACAGATAGCAGGGACATAAAAGACTATCCCTAGATATTATCGAGAAATGTAATATCAGCAAGGAGATAATTGAGAAATAAAAGAACTAACTAAATCAGTGTTTGACTGCATGGTCATGGATGACAGAGACAAGTCCATACAGGGTAAAATGGCTTCATTAAGTATGGTCCTCTAGGTAGGTAGGTTTTCCTCCCGCAGTGCATCAAAATATATAGGAAAGAGGTTTTTGGTTCATGCCTTTCACATACTAAGAAAAATACTTTTTCTGAAGCCTTCAGAAATCTTATTTCATTTGAGAGGAATATTTTAAATAGCTTTAACAGGAACTAGATAAACCCTCAAGTAAAAATTCTATGATTTTCCAAGTATTATCTTTATTCTATGAATATACATAGTGCCTCTGATGTGACATCTGCCCTGGATCATTTGATTAATCTTTGACAAAAGTGAGTTGCCCCTTGTTTTTTTTCCTTTGCATATAAGATCTTACTAATTGGTCTAATTTAAATTATTTGTCAATAGGGCAAAGGCAATTGAGCCATATTCTGTAATATTATTTAATAAATATCATAAATGTAACTAATATTTATTGAATTACCGCCACAAGCCAAGAAATCTTCTAAGTGCTTTATATATGTTATTTTATTTATTTATTTACTTACTTACTTACTTGTTTATTTATTTATTTTAAGATTTTTT